CGCGCAATAGTTGCGTTGGGAGGGGCGACCGCCTAATTGCTCTTCATAAAGTTGAAGTGGCATTTTCCTAAGCTCACTGAGGCTAAGCTCTCGAACTAGCAAGACCCTTATTTGTTGGTACGTAGGGTTTGTTTTCAGGATATCCAGTGTCACAATCACTATTTCTGGTAAGAGTAGGTAAATTACAAGATGAACATTTACGGTATCCTTATGCATGCAATTGAGTTCAAAAGAGGCCCGGCCTGAAGAAACCAAAACTGAAGATACTGTATCCGGAGTGTTGTGAAACAATTAGTAGCTAGGGTATTAATTTCCCCTGATATCTGTTTTGTCATATTCGCATATATATGGTGCTAAAAGAGAACGAGGAAGGTGTCTATGACTCACCGGATGATGTGGGTTAGTCTGAAACACCGAACTCACGTCGGGTTCACCAATATGTAAGAGGGCTTCTTAAGTGCGGAATTCGGAATTAATGCCCCGTTGTTCTTGGATCCCAAAAGGAAGTTAAAGACGGTATTCCCATTGTTGCTTTTAAGTGCTCCTACAAATTAAGCACCGAAGAACAGAGGAATGCACGTAGTGGTATTGTTCCTTAGATGGTACGCTCTTCAAAAGTCGATGCTCGATAATATATTGAATGAAGCTATAAATGATGGTCAATATAGCTGGAAGATCTTCAGCAGATTAGAGGCATGTAGCAAAGCTTAAGTGACAAAATGTATAAAGTTGTGCTACAAATCCACAAAGTGCTTGAAACTTGAATATTTCAATGTTGAAATATAACTGTCAACTTCTTTGCAAACAAAGACGTGAATTGCACGTTGTAGCGATAAAAATAAAACGGACGATAACAATGCAATTTATAGAGCTGATTAATTCAATGCGAATGAATGTAATCTCAATGATGTGCAGGAGTGATGTGAGGAGTGTCCCACAAAATAGCGTGAGCGTCGATGTGGATCGACCACGTTGTCTAGTAGTTTATAAGGCACAGATCAAAGCGGAGGATAGAATACTTAAGCTGATCATACTGAAGAGAGTGAGCTTCGGTGCCGAAAACTGTTAACTCAGTAGAAGTTGATATTTCCTGGAGTCGCTCTATATTTGACGAGGAACAATCTTATCGTCGCACAACTTCAGTGATCTTATTAGCCAATGAACCGGGCTGAGTCATACCATTAGGGAAGGGGCGCACTATTTGAGACAATAACTGGAGTTATTGAGGGGATACGTTTTGGTACAGAAGACAGCCAGAATTGGTTCGTGAAGCCGAAATCTGGTTTGACTTCTAGTTTGATCGGAAAGACCAATATGTTAATTAAATAAAGTGCTTGGATGATTGAGGCACTATTATTCGTAATAACGACTAATTGTTTGGTGCGCGAAAGTTTTGATCGGTTTATCAGGTTACTTGGATTCCATCAGGATCTAAAATAAATTCATTGCTACCCCATCAGTATTACTAAAAATGAACCCATTTCTTACCATCAGTTCGTTTTTCTATTTTGGACCCCACTGTCCATCTACCTCATATTCCCCAGACCAGTAAATTGTCAGGTCTAGTCTGCTTTGTCTATGTGCCACCCCATCATCGTTTCTGGTACATATACTACGAGCAAAACTTAAAATCCTTGATCTTAACACTGTGAAAATGGCTACGAGTACCAACGGGTTAGCATCAAAGGCGAACCCCACATTGATGAATGAGAACAAATCTGCTCTTCCTGTTTACTTTGTCCGACACACTTGCTAAAAGTAAGTTCCTTGAAAACGAAGTAAATATACTAAAGAACGAACTGGTCTCCATTCCTGAAACTTTGGCCTAGATGTTGACACTAGTCCAGTGGTCAGATAGCTGTAAATCCGATAGTCCCATTGTGTTGAACACCGCCGGAGAACTCATCGCGACTATTGCCAACGAAGTAAGTCAGCGTACTCACCGTGCCTCCAACGTGATCCTCTTCAACTTTCCGGACCGGGTGGCTGTTGACAGAGTAAAGAGCATATTGCTAGGTTTGTGTAACTTATCATTGGACAGTTGCACCAGTAAATGATTGAAGACGAAGACGTCAGGGCGAACCTGCTCCACTGTCTTGACCTTTAAATGCCAAGACATTTTTGGACATTAGGTTTGAGAGTACATGCGAACATTGGCCAGCTCCTCATTAAACCCGATAAGACGCTTCTGCAGAGAGCTAGTCTATATTCAAGCGCTGCTCCTGGCGTGCCAAGTAGACGCTCTGTGCCACAGGGTGTTCGTTAGGCTAGCATTGCCAAAAAACCAGGCGTAAATCTCTGCTCATCCCTCACGCAAGTAAGTTCGACCACAAGAAAATATAAAGCTACATCATGAACCACAGTGAAGGCCGTCGACCATCCCGCAAATTTTATTCCGCTTATTGATAATGTTGCTATTAATACGAGCAAAACCGTTGCTTAAACCGGAAGTCATGACTTGCAGGATGCAGACAATGAGCTTGAGATCCATAGCTCCCCGCATTATGTTGCCACAGTTTATTATGTGGTTTAGTTGCAAACTTCTCCCCTTGCCACCTATTCGCCGCAGATAAAAATGTACTTAAAAGACGCACAACATCCCTGACCTTGCTTCCTCTAAAGTGCGCTCGTCGGCTCTACCATCATAATTGTCTGTGCATCCTAAAAAAGACACCCTCGAAGGAATGAGTCAGACCTCGATACTAACAGACCGCGCAGCCACTCCGACGATCATATCTGCTGGAGACATCGAATAAACCAAATTGCAACTAAAACGTTCTACTTAATGATGTCGATCGTCTCTCCATGAGCGATCGCGAGATAAATTGTCTAAAGGACGGAACTACATAGTTAGTATAGATAAATTTAGTTAGTATAGATAGTTTAGTTAGTTTAGTTAGTATAGATAAATTCCCCTCCGTTATCCATTGTGTTCTGGTCCTTTAAAACAACTTAAGGCATCTGCCTCACTCTTACCAACACCCGCAACATTTCATGGAATGTGGCGGGTTGCGACTCGCCACACCAAATCCAAACAGAAAGGCAATTGCGCTATATCACTATGCTAGAATTCTATCTATGTCCCAAACTCCTGCAAATTATTGGGGTCAACTATATCCCATTGTCTCCTGAAAACTCCGCTACGGTATTTGACAAACTCTACAATGAAAATGATCACATCTGTGGCATCAGCCCACCGTCCTCTCATTATGCAGCTGCCTACAATCCCCATAGTATCCCTCGTCACATTTACTCCTCCAATAAATCGGAAAGACTTTATCACTTACTACATCTACGGACGTATAGAAAACTCTTACACCGAAAGCGTCATCAACATCTATAAACATTGGAAGACGCAAATAACCGGTGAGTGTGAATAACCTGGACGACATTGAACTTGGTACCTCTACTACAGCTATATTTAGCCATGAGCAGGATACAATGTTCCTCATTAACCAAACATAAGATACACTTATTAGGCCCCTTTAGCGTGTTATCTGGTTCATGTTACCAAAATGTGGCAGTCCGCCAGGGCATCTGACACACCTCATCACATACCGCGTTACAGAAATTGCTGAAATGGGGGCCTCACTAGCCGGGGAGGCGGATCCCTTATCCATATTCATGAGGACTTTGATGCCACTACATTTGAAGTGTTGTCTATTGCTAAGTCCGAAGATTCAATCTGGGTGCAGAGCACAGGGGAACATTTGGACCTCCTAAGTGACTGCATGTTTACCCACCACACATTACCAAGGTACGTGAGACGGAACCTGCCCAACTCTTCCATCAATTTTCCGAACTACCGCCTAGTCACAAACTAGTAAGAGGTGAATGTAATTTGCTGAACATCATTTGGGACTCTCTGATAGCTCCAGGAAAATATACAGCTCTATTAGACACCATGATGGCATGCGACTGGACTCAGCATGTACTTGCACCCACTAGACAAGATAATGTTCTTGACTTATTTTTGGCAACGGGAATCTCCCCGTGTATTTTCGATTGTGCTAAAGAATATCCAAGGTAGCACCCGTTTGAGATAACCATAGTGAAGGATTGCCTTGCAAGACAGGTGTCTGCCTACCGACCATTCCAGCGTATTAACTGGAATAACTTCTAGAATTTGTTCAGATAAATGAATTGGAATATTGATGTAGCCACCAAGGAACTGTGCAACCACATTGAATTCTGCCTGGATATACCTGCACCAAAGCAACGTGGAAACAGACCAGGCTGTCAACCAACCACAGCGATCTTAAAGACAATGCCTATTAAATCCAAAAATGCGACGCAAATTATTAAATGTAAAAGGGGTCAATATTATATATGCAAGAAGGGTTGGATGGAGGGATTATGTGAATATATTTTTGTATTTGGGGTGGAAATGGAGTGTGGATTATGAGTATAAGGGGGGAGTAAGAGGGTGGATGATATTATATGAGGGTATGTGTGCATTGGGGGGTAATGTAAGTTATGGTGAAGATTGGGGATGAGGGGGTGGGTTAGATAGTGGGTTGGGGGATATGGGGGATGATGGGGGGTAGGTATGTGGTGGGGGTTTTGTGGGTGGAATTTTGGGATAAATGTATGGTTGGAGGGTGTTTGTTTGGGGTTGTAGGGGGTGTAGGGGGGGGTTGTAGGATGTGGGGACTGGTGGGTAGGGTAGAAAGGGGATTTGGAGATAGGTGTGTGGTAGGATAGGTGGTTGGTTATTGATTATGGTGGGGGGGGGGTGTTGTTTGAGAGTGATGAGTGGAGTAGTTTCTAAAGGAGGAAGGGGGGGGGTAGGTAATAAGGGGGGGAGGTATAGTGGGGTGGGAATGGTTAGGGGAATAAGGGGGGTTGAATTGATGGTGGGATAGAGTGATTTGAGTTGGGGGGTGGTGGGGAAAATAATAAGGATTATGGGGAGGTGGGGTGGGATTGAGGTTATGGTGTGGGGGGGGGGTGGAGGTGAGGTGTTTGGGTGATGGTGTTGAGTAAGGGGGGGGAATCTGATGAGTATAATTGGGATGGATGATGGGGGGGTGTGTGTGTTTGTGGATAGGTTGTGGGGGGGGGGGGGGTGGTGGGTGGGGGTGGTGGGGTGGGAGGGGTGGGGGGGTGGGGGTGGGGGGGGTGGGGGTTGGGGGGGGGGGGTTGGGGGGGGTGGGGGGGGGGGGGGGGGGGGGTGGGGGTGGGGGGGGGGGTGGATGGGGGGTGGGGGGGGGGGGGGGGGTGGGGTGGGGGGGGGGTGGGGTGTGGGGGTGGGGGGGGGGGTGGGTGGGGGGTGGGGGGGGGGGGGGGGGGGGGGGTGGGGGTGGGGGGGGGTGGGGGGGTGGGTGGTGGGGGGGGGGGGGGGGGGGTGGGGGGGGGGGTGGGGGGGGGGGGGGGGTTGGGGTGGGGGGGGTGGGGGGGGGGGGGGGGGGGGGGGGGGGGGGGGGGGGGGGGGGGGGGGGGGGGGGGGGGGGGGGGTGGGGGGGGGGGGGTGGGGGTGGTGGGGGGGGGGGGTGGGGGGGGGGGGGGGGGTGGGGGGTGGGGGTGGGGTGGGGTGTGGTGGGTGGGGTGGGGGGGTGGGATGTTTTGGGGTGGGGGTTGGGGGGGGGTGTGTGGGGGTTGGGTTGTGTTTGGGGGTTTTGGGGTGGGGGTGGGGTGTGTGGGGGGGGTTGTTTGGTGGTGTTGGTGGGGTGGGTGGTTGATTGGTGGGTGGTGTGGTGGTTGGGTTTGTTTGGGTGGGGTTGTTGTTGTGGGTGTGGGTGGGGTGTGGTTGTGGGTTGTTTTGGGTTGGGTGGTTGTGGTGGGTTGTAATGTTGATTGAGGTTGTGGGGAGAGAGAGTATGTGAATAGTATACCGCTCTTTTGTAATTACTAACTTGCAGAAAAGTGATTGAATAACAACTGAGAGAGTGCAAGGTTCATTCACCAAGTGACTATTGGAACCATCTACACTAAACCATCCTGGTAGATACAAACAGCTCCAGATAGACCGATCGTCGCTCTGAAGATTCACACTTGACCTGGTATTCCTCTTCCAGGTACTGCACAACTAAAACGCTACTACCGAAGGCCTTTTTCTGCAGGATGCGGATGAGCGCTACCCATTACGGGCAGGGACTTATTCGATCAGCTTACCGAAGGAGCGTACCAGGTTACACTCCAGTTTCTTTCTTTACAGATATGTGTTCACATCGAATAGGTCGCCAATGGAAATCAGATCGATATCAACGGCTGCAGCATTCCGCACCAAATTACCTTGATCTTGTGACTCAATCCCTACTGCAGAATGTCTTGGCCTAGATCAGTCTGAAGATGAGAAAGAGGACCAGATCGATTCTTACCTGATTATCTGGCTAAGTAAACAACCGAGTGACTCGTCGTAGTCACCGGTAGCTCAAATCTGCGCATCCGGCCCCATCTTTTGCGTGCCATAACTTAGTCTGCATTAACATTCTTTCCATAGATATCCGGCGTCGACTTAATCATTTTGCGCGACGCAGCACCTTAGCATTGTATATACCGATGTGTTCACATCATTTACAATCTACATCTTTAGCCTTACGCTATATATGTGCGTCCGGCCATAACATCAGCTTTCCACGCTGTAACTGTAGTTGACCTTTTCCCTTAGCACGCTAGACGGCTGAACTACCTTGTGCCACGAAGCGCTTATCCAACAAAGTTGTGGTACTCGCGTAACCACCTACTGGCTCCAACAACTTGGGCTCTTCGCTGAAGACTGGCATCCAGCTCCACCCCTTACTTCTATTACTCGGCCTTCAATCCCTCAATTCTCCATACTGGGAAAGAATATTGAATTAAACTGCTGGACTCGGAGCCTTAACTTCGTATGTGTTCTTGCGCACGTAGTCAAATACCTAAATCTACCTATTTGACTCCTCATTGTAAACCGATTTTCACCGCCACTACCTACATTCGATCAGTTTATTTTCATTTGCTCTCGTCACAGCAATTTAGGGCGACAGATGCATTCTGCAGGAAGCAGCGACTTAGTTTCGTATCCACTTGTGTTCACATAGGTTTTATGTTAATAAATGCCTCCTCAATTTGTTGTAAACGAGTATGCAGCCCCACCTTTTGCTTGTCATTACTCAGCCTGCGTTAGCTGTCTTCTCCCAGATATCCAAGGACTACTTAAGTAGTCTGTAGTCTATTCACGCACAATTTGCAAGCTTCAACGCCTTCTACTATTCGCTGTTATCAAGCATCCAGCCCCACTCGCAGCGCTTTGCATTTACTGCTGCTTATTCTTTCATAAAATCCCAAATGTATATTTATATATATATGTTATCTATGAAATCGCTGATACACAGTAAATAAGGTTTCAATGGTTAATCATTTGTTGCTTGCTCTTCATTTTCTGTTGAAGGCTTCCATCGCATTTCTGGTTGGCTGTCTGTTCGGCTGCCTGTTGTCCGTTGCCCTTCTTTCAGAGTGTTTCAGACATGTTATCCAGCATCATTGGAACCTTATCATGACGGCTGATGTTCCTAAACCAGCGATTCGGATCCTTACCACCATGAGGACCAAGATTCCCTCAGCTGTATACGGACAGGAGATCAACGCGGCTCAAGAAAATCTGACGATATAGTTTACGACGAGCGGACGGAAACTAGACGAGAGGTGACTGCGGGTGGCAGTGCAGGCAGTCGATTCGAAATCAATGCTATCCAAATGTCTGAAACAAAATTTGCGTCCATGATTCTACATAGAATTACGATATATATATATATATATATATATATATATATATATATATATATATATATCATTAGCATTGCTCGACTAGTTCGCGTTCAAACACATTTTGATATTTTAACATGTAAACAGTTATCACAACCACATGTCATACCTTGGACCGCCAGTACCTAATAGCTTACACTTGTCAAGTTTAATATTTGATCAAACGGCAGCTTTCCCATATCTGCTTGTACAAAACTGGTCATGCCTTCTTTGCTGTGCCTCGTGTAACATAGAACATATATTTTATTTACTGTTACTGTTGTCCCCAGCAATGGCGCAGACTGTGCAGTCAAGTTTTGGCACTGACGACGAGAGATAATCTTCAAACATTTTTTACTATGAGGCTATTTTGTCCGTGGTGTGTATACATTCAAGTCAAGTTAAACGGCTTAATGCACCCAAATGATAAAATAATTAAATAAAAAATGATTTTACTACACAGAACTGTGTAGTTCTCTTTTTCAAGCAAACGAAGTTGCAAAACGTTTTTGACTTTCTTTGCGGCGGCAAGTAAAATCAACTAAAACAAGACGGTAGATGAAAGGTTTGGGGAATTGAATAATATAGGCAGAGATACGTCACGCCTAGTCTCACTCAGATGTCCATCACACACCCGTGAGAGCACTTTAGGCGACTTTCAGCTTATCCGGAAACGTCAGCAATGCGCATTTCATCTTATAATGCCATTTCTTGATTGGCGGCTTAGGTTGGGTAAGTTCGTCACTTTGTGAGGGGGCTACCCGCTCCTCTGCAAGGCAGTAACGCGTAATTCAGCGCATAGGGAGTTGCGCTATTTTACCTCTGGTAGCTTATTCACTATAGATGTTGGCAAACCCAAATGAATTCTCCTGGTGCTTAGAGTTGTACTTATATACTCATCTTATATTTAGCGTGTCAGAAGGATGGAAGATACAGGCTACGTGTCGAAGTGGGAATAATGAGAGCCGTGCTCAGTTAATTGACTGATTTAGATACTCAAAACGTGACGAGCTTTTAGAACTACATTGGTACCTAACAAAAGAGGAACCGTGTGACCGTTCTATTACTATTGATTATATAAATGGAGAAGCCAACGGACGAGGACTACAGCGCAAGCCGATCTGTTGTCTGTGGGAACAGCTAATCTAACTAAGCATTTGTGTAAAGGCTTAGCTTTATGTATCATGATATCAGGTGTTCAACTAAGTGGGATATAACGCTGTCAAGGAAGAGTAACCGGCTAATATTACCTACCCCAACACTTGATAGCAAAGTGCACATTCGATCAGCAAATTAACTATTCGAAATGAATCATGTTGCTTATTCTTTAAGGTTAAGGTATTTTGTTCATTGAAGCGGAATTAGCGGGAATAATGAGTTTTCGACATTAGGCGGAATTTCAAGTTCAACTAAACATGGACAGGAAAATAATGCTGTCGATGTCAAAGGCGCAGTGCGTCGCTAAGCTATCATCATACCTCATGGTCTTGTTTGCTGTCTAGAAGGCTAGCGTGAAACGAATAAATCACACCTCGGTCAATAAGCTTGTAATCAACAACCCTACTCCAGCAGCTGTTTCCGTCTCGGTGGGGCAACGTAAAACTGCTGAATGTATTAGAGGATGTGAAGGAGCTAAAATACGTTAAGCGAGAATTGGCAAAAAATAGAAACTGTAAAACTATTAAAATGGAACAGAAGATAAGTGATTGATGAAAATGTTAGAAGCTATGAATCTGTGATAACAGATGGTTACTTCAGCTCCGGCAAATTTAAAGTCCGTAGCATGCCTCTGTTAAGAGCTTAACCAGGAAGTTTACACTTCCGAATGTTGATCGGATATGGAGTCTACTCAGCACCAAACAAGACACAAGTCACGGAAGAAATGCTTGGTGTGGACAAAAATGCGAAAAAAAATTGTACATATGTTTGATTGACCGACGTAACGGTTAATGTTGCAGTTTTCTGTAGCTACTCCCATTCTCTAAGTCGCGGGGATCTAACGTATTTTTTGGGCTTACTGCAAGTGTTTTGTATAAATTGCATTAACTGTTGGTATTGTCAAGGACACCTACTCTCGAGTAATTTGTATATAGCGACAGAGATTGGAAACAAAATTGAGACTCCGAATGGTGTCACTCGAGGCTGAGAAATTTCAGATTAGTAGATGGCACTGGTTCCTTAATGACTCGGCCAAAATTGAACGCGTCTCCAGCATTGTATCGTTTACAACTTTATTTTATATTTGCGCTAGGCATAGGTTATACGGATGGCGAATATCAGTAGGACACATGGGTTGGTAACGGGGCTGCTGAGCCTACTGAGAGATGGAATCAGAGGAGCTATGCGCAATATCAAGGAATGGTGTGAGCTCGACATTAGTTCATGTCCTTACTTATTAGACAAATTTAGGTAGGTACAACCTACTTCCGAACAAAATTGGTTTTGACGGAGGGTAACAACTGAGCCAACCATTCGGAATAGATGAGGCATTTTGCTGCTGCTAACTAGGCCTCATGTTGGGGATCATTTATCCAATGCGTAAGTTGCATATGGTACTAGGTGCAAATCCACCGTAGGCATATGGAACGTCAGAATTGCTCACTGTGTACGGTGCGTTATCTAAATTGCTCGGTTCCTTATTCACTGGAAGTCTGGGATCTGCGCTGCCTCCTGATGACTACGAGTTTTGCAGAATGTCTTCACTTTGTCAAGATATTTCTATCATTACTGTTGGCTGTAGCAGACGTGGGTTGAAATAAAGGTCTAAACATGATGATAGAGTTTTTCAAGTGAGAATGGGAAGCGACGTCTTAGATGGTAAACTGACCTGGGACGATATGCCAATAGGATGCAAATATCGAACATTTTCTCTGAATTACGTAAATGTTGCTCGCCGATACAGGACATTTTTCTCCTAGTAGCACTATGCCGCGTGTCTTATTCGCTTTACCTGCATTCC